ATTGGAAGGCATATTCTTAACCACTGGACCACGAGGGAAGTCCCTGTCTGTCCTCCCTTAGTAGGGCTCACCTTATCCCAGAGTGACCTCATCTCTCTTTAGCTAGTGACATCTGCGAAGATCTTATTTCCAAGTGAGGTCTCTGGACTAGTCTGCTCAAACTGCCACAACCTGATACTACAGGTTGGGGCCTTGAACAATGGGTAGTTATTCCCTCCCAGGGCTGGGGGCTAGACATCCTGGATCAAGGTGTCTACAGGCTGGCTCCCTCTGAGGCCTCTCTTTTTGGTGTGAGGATGGCCACCTTCTCCCTAAGTCCTCATGTGGTTTCCCGTCTGTGTGTACCTGTGTCCTAATCTTTTTTTTTTTAAGATTTTTTTTTTTTTGGTGTGGACCATTTTAAAAGGCTTTATTGAATCTGTTAAAATATTTTATGTAACATAGAATATTATTATCTTCTGTTTTATGTTGTGTTTTTTTGGCCCAGAGACATGTGGGATCTTAGTTCCCCAACCAGGGATCAAACCCTCACCCTCTGCCTTGGAGGGTAATGTCTTAACCACTGGACCACCAGGGAAGTCCCTAATCTTTCTGATAAGGACCCTTGTTCCACTGGCTCAGGGGCCACCGTTAGGACCTCATTTTACCTTAATCTCCTCTTTAAAGATCCATCTCCAAATACAGGGGCTTCCCAGGTGGCTTGGTGGTAAAGAATCTGCCTGCCAATGCAGGAGATGCAGGTTTGATTCACGGGTCAGGAATATCGCTTGGAGAAGGAAATGGCAACCCGCTCCAGTATTCTTGCCTGGAGAATCCCATGGACAGAGGAGCCTGTCAGGCTACAGTCCATGGGGTTGCAAAGAGTCAAAGATGACTTAGCAACTAAAACAACAGCTCCAAATACAGTCACAGTCCAGGGTCCTGGGCGTCAGGGCTTCCACACAGGAATTTGAGAAACACAATTCAGTTCAAAGCGGTCACCATCTGAGGTTCTGGGCGGACAAGAATTTTGGGGGAACTGCTCAACCTACTACGGGGGAGCTCAGTAAGAGCTCAGAGTTGAACTCAGTAAGAGACTCAGGGTGGGGTGGTCATGGGTATGGGGAGCCTGCAGCAAATAAAAACACTGTGGATGGGGCCCCTGTTGGCAGCAGCCCTGAGCAAGTCACTTAGTCAAGATATAATCTCTGCCCTTGGAGTGTGCTGCCAGTGAGGGAGCCTTCGCGCCTCTGTAAACCAGGGCTGGAGGAGGTTACCCAAGGTCACGGGACAGCCTCTACTGGAGCCAGCACCTCCACCCTGCGAGGTCACTCCTTGCATGCCACTGGCTGCCCAGCCAGCGGTGATGGTGGCGTGAGGACACCCTGGGGTCCCCCTATGAGGCTGGCACTGTGGTCCCAGGATCCCACCCACTGCTGGAACATTGCCTTGAAATCTCTTCTGCCTGTAGTTGCTTAAAAATGTTGTATTCTTGCCTGAGACCTTTGCAGTTTGCTTCGAGGGGAAATGGCTTTGACTTTCCCGCCTTCTTTATACTGTGTTGATCTTGCAGTGTGAGCCACCCCTTGGGGTGCCACAGGCCCTGCTCTGGGGGGAAGGGTGAGGCTGTTACTGTGTCTGAGGGGGCATTGCAAGGTGAGGCAGTGGTGAGGAGACCAGGTGTGTAGGAGATGGAACAGGACAGTGTCCTGCAGCCGGAGGACAGGACTCTTTTTCTTTTATTGAGATGTAGTTCACACACCAGACAATTCATCCTTTAAAGTGTACAATTCAGTGTGTTTTCATGCCTAGTTGTGCAACAACCACCATTAGCTAATTCCAGAACATTCCATCCCCCCAAAAGGAGCCATATCCCCATCAGCAGTCACCCCTCCCCCCCCCCAGCCCGTGACAACCAGGAACCCACTCTCTGTGTCTGTGAGTTGGGCTGTTCCTCACGGTTCCCATCAGTGGAGTCACATCCTGTGTGTCCTTCTGTGTCTGCTTCTCTCACTTTTCTCAGCGTCCCCCGACATGGCAGTGAGTGTCAGGGCTTCCCTCCTTCTCATGGCTGAGGGATAGTTCATGGTGGGGTTTGCTTTCGATTATGTGGTAGACATTTTGATGGTACTTGATGTTTCTGGGGGCCCCACACCCTGATAAGGTTTTGGCCTGATTTTAAACAAGCACTTGCCCCAAATTTGCTATAATGTAGATCAACGGTAGCAAACCTTCTGTAAAGGGCCAGACGCTAAATATTCTCTTGTTTGCAAGTGAAGGTGTCTCTGCTGTAGCTACTCAGCTCTGCCCTTGTATCTTGAAACCACCAGAGACAACACCTGCAGGAACGGGTGTTGCCATGCGCCAGTAAAGCTTTATTTACAAAAAGCAAGCAGAGGGCCACACACGTGGCCCTCAGGCCAGAGCCTGCCAACCCCGCTTTAGGATGGAAGTTCTCCAACGTTTTGATCCTGCAGGTTCCAAGGACTTTCTGTGTTTTCTATTTTAATTAAGAAATATTATTTTATTTTTGGCTGCACTGCATGGCTTTGGGGATTTTAGTTCCCTGACCAGTGATTGAACCCTGGCCCTCAGCATTGAAAGCACCAAGTCCTAACCACTGGACCACAAGGGAATTCCCCAAAGAGATTTTTTTTTTTTAATTTTGGGTTATATTTATCAAAAGTTGCCAGATTCAAAATTAAAACTGAGAAAATTTTTAAATATTTACTAATTCATTTTAAAATAATAAACCCTAAATGGCATTTTTAAATGGAAAGTAACTTTTTTTTTTCTTCAAAACAAACAGAGAATTAGTGAGAAGATGGTGAGGAAAACCAAGAGGCTGTCATGACCCAGAGTTGACTAAGGACATGTGATGACTGAACCAACTGTGGGATCCTGGGGCAGGAAAAGGACACGGTGGGTGGGGGAGCTAGTGAAATCTGGATGCAGTGTCACTGTCCCAGCTGTGACAGACACGCCCCAGGGAAGAGTGGTCTGGGAAGGACAGACGGCACCCTCTCTCCTGTCTTTGCAACTTCTCTGTAAACGCAAGCTTATTTCAAAGTACGTGTTTGTTGAAAGAAAAACAGGACAGAACAAAACAACTGTGTGGTCCAGAGGGCTCTGGCCACATTTAGAGGAGGGTGAGGCCAACATCGGGGAAAGTGGCTGGAGAAGCTGGGCGGCTGGGGAGTGAGTGGTGGGTCAGGCGGGGGGTCAGAATAGTGCCCTGGTGCCCAGCACAGGCCAAGGGCGATTGTAGGTGCTGGACCTGGTGGTGAGTCCAAGAATGAAGCCCCACCCTCTGAGGACAGCGCTGGCCCGGACACCCAAGCGAACAAGGACAAGAGGAGAGGTGCCGGGTAGGGCCGAGCAAGAGAGGAGAGCCCAGGGTCCAGGGAGGTCTCGCTAGGAGGCCACATCCACGCCTACCCCTAGAGGTGGGGAGAAGGCAGGCGCCGAGGAAGAGGGAGCTGGGAAGTGGTGGGCAGACTGTGGACAGTCCTGAGGCATGACAGCCAAATGTCCTAGAGAATGGCCTTCTGTCTAGGCTGGTCTCCTGCTTTTTAAAAAATATTTATTTATTTATTTGGCTGCATTCAGTCTTAGTTCCCGCACTCGGGATCTCCAGTGTGGTGTGGTCTACTCTCTAGCGGTGTGCAGGCTTAGGTGGCCAACAGTGGGTGGGATCTTTGTTCCCTGACCAGGGATGGAACCTGAGTTCCCTGCCTTGCAAGGTGAATTCTTATCCACTGGACCACCAGGGGCGTCCTTGATCTCATGCTTTCTATCAGACCAACGGAGGGCCACAGCTTGCAGTCCCTGAGGCAGGGTCAGAGCTCCAGTGGCCAGTCGGGCTCGGCTCCAATGTGGGTCAGTGCAGCCTCCCTGCAAGGGCCCAGTCCCCTGGCTAGGATGACAGTTCTCAACCGGGGCGGTTCTGACCCCGCATCCCCATGTCCAGGGCATCTGTGGTCATCATGATGGAGGCATCTAGCATCCAGTGGGTGGGGCTCAGGGAGGCTGCCCCACACCCCACAGTGCCCAGGATGGCCCCCCACAGAGAATGTCCAAGCTCTGAGGTCAGCAGTGCCAGGGGAGACCCTGCGCTAATTGTTTGGAAAGAGCATTGAGCCTGATCCCAGCTCACACTGGACACCTGAGTTTAGAGTCAGGTGGACTCCAAATCGCTCTCTGCTTGCAAATTCAAATGCCTATGGCCCTGGGCTTTTCCGCCCGTCCCCTCCACCATCCTGAGCATCCCCCAGGGGGTTGGTGGCCCACAGGGTGCTCGAAGCGAGGAGGCCCCAGGAACTCCCTGTCTTTCAACTGCAGCATTGGGACAGAATTTTCAGGGCTGGGTTTGAGAGGAATACCCGGGCCCCTTGTCCCAAAGTCACCCAGAGCAGTACAGCAAGCTGGGGGGGGGGGGGGCCTTGGGCTGGTGCTGGCTCAGCCCCAAGGTCAAGGTCAGAAGGAGGGGGTGCTCTGGGCCCCATGCCCCACCCCCTCCCTGGGCAGGACCCTGTCCCTGGGCTCATCCACCCAACGGGTGCCCCGCCTACTCTCGGCCAAGCCGCTGTCCTTGGAGCCCAGCCTGTGTTTACTTTACCCGAGGCCATGCGCTGGGCCGGGCTGACCAGGAAGGGGCTGGGAAAGATGGTTCTGCAGGGAGGCCTCCAGGGCCGTGGCTGCAGACCCAGGGGGAGCATGGGGCCCAGGCTCTTCCTTGGCCTGGCCAGAGCCCCGAGTCTATGTTCTCCAAGCCCTGTCCTTCCTGGTCATGAGGGCTGTGGCTTCCCCCCCCGCCACTTCCCCCCAGTGTGTTCCTGATGTGTAGATGGGACACACTTTATAAATGGGAGCAACAAGAGGCCAGTTCCAGATCCTGGGGTCACCCCAGTTTGTACGGTCTGACTGGCAGGAGCTTATTCTGGGTCCAGCAGGAGCAGGGATCAGACTCAATTTTTTGCCAAATAATTAACCCAGGGTCTCCCCCTCGGGGCTGTGGATACTGGGGCCGAGTCATCCTCCGTGGCGGTAGGGGGCGGGGCGTCCAGGGCACTGCGGGGAGCAGAGCAGCTCCCTGATCCCCATGCACTGGATGCCAGGGACACCCCCGGTCCTGACAACCACAGATGTTCCTAGACTGCCCCCCAGGTGAGAGCCGCCCCCAGTCCAGGACCTTGGAGAGGGAGGCAGCACTGCGGAGTCCTGCCTCCTGGGGCAGCTGGGTCACTTTCTCAGCACCTGCCAGGAATAGGCCGGGGTTAATCGGAGCTGCTGTGGCCACAGTGCCAGGAATGCAGCCCGGCCATGGCCGGGTTTCTTGGCCAAGTAGAAAGGCTGGGAGCTGTGCTTTCCAGGGATTAGGCAACGAGGAGTCTCCACATCTGTCTTCTCCTGCCAGATACACAGCAGCCCAGGACCCTGTGCCTCTATGGCTCCTCACTCTGCTCCTCGTATCCGGGGCCCTGGGCAAGGGGCTGAGCAGCTGCTTCCAGAGTCATTTCTGTTCTTGAACCAAGACGGGCAGTCTCATCGGGGTTCATCCTGCCCCAGAGGACACTGGGTGGTGTCAGGGTTTCCTCTGTGGTTGTCATCACTGGGGGGGCTCTGGGCATTGAGGGGTGGGGTGGAGGATGCTGCTCCACACCCCACAGTGTCCAGGACAGCTCCCTAGAGGATGACCCACCCCAGTGCCCTCTTCTGGCTCCTTCTAGTCCTGATAGTTTAAGATTCTGGTCTTGGGTCCATGGAATGATGCCAGGATGCTGGGACAGCCCCCTCTTGTGATGGGGCGATCACAGGTATGCAGGAAACTCGCCCTGTCCGGAGCTCCTGCACCCCCTGCACAATAGGGCACTGTCCTCTGGGGGTCATGGGGTTCAGGGAGGTGCATTATCATCCTCACGCCTTGTCCCCATTCCTCAGAGCCTTTTCATGGCAGCCCACGTTCTTGATGGCCGCGGCCTTGCATGGTGATGTCAGTGGACTGCTCCGTGGTCACTGGCCTGAAGCTTCCAGGAATCTCACGCCTGCTACCAGGAGGGAGCTGGGAGGGTGGCGGCCGCCTGTTTTCAGCAAGCTACAATGTGTAGGGACTCTGGTGAGGTGGACAGGGAGTCAGGGCCTGGCCCGGACAGCGAGTCCCCTCCAAGGTGAGACGGAGCTGTAGGTCCCACAGCCAGGCTGAGTCAGGGCTGTGTCACTCGGAGAGAAGGAGCCCCGGCTCAGCACCAGCTCAGGCAGCCTCAGAAGCCCTGTCAGGTCACATGACCTCCCGGCTCAGCACCCACGCCCCCCCACGTGCGGCTGCCCCAGTCTCCTGAGGGCTAAAGTTGTCCTCTGGGGCCTGTCAGCGTGGGCCTCAGCCCTGCTCCCCTGAAGGCCTTCCTGGTGGCTTGGTCTGCAGTGCAGGAGGCGTGAGTGCCATCCCTGGGTCGGGAAGATCCCCTGGGGAGGAAATGGCGCCCCACTCCGGTATTCTTGCTTGAGAACCCCCGTGGACAGAGGAGCCTGGCAGGCTATGGGGACAGGATGTGATTCCATCAGGATTCGAGGGGACATCAAGCACCCACTTCTTGAGGGCCGCCCTCAGGGCACATTGTTGGACTTCCATTCTTCTAAAAAGTGAATAAAGTCTTCATGACTGTATAGTAACAACGCAGCCTGCATTCATCTCCACACGCCTGCAGTTATAAATTATGGTTTCCCAGGGTACTCATTGATGGCAGAGGCCCACAAGACAAGTTGGCCCCCTGCTCCTCTCTCCCAGCCACAGGCATCTCCACAGTTCCGGGGACAGTCGCCCACAGAGAATGACCGGGCCCCAAGGTCGGCAATGCCCAGGAAGAGACCCTGAGTTCATTACTTGGAAAGATGTTAAATTTGATCCACAGCTCAGATTAGACTCCAGAATAAACATCTGATGGTCAGACGGTGTAAACCAGGGTGGCCCCCAGCGTGTGTGAGTTCCCCCCCACCCCCTCCCCCCTCAGGTGTGTATTGAAAGATGTGCAGCCTCCCAGGACCTCCGAGGTCACATGGTCATGGAACATAATGTCCTGGGAGAGGGGGTGGTCCGTGGGATCTCCTATCCCAGGGCGGGGGGGTCTCACCTACCCTAAATCCATGCAAGTTTTTCACACCCTCCCTCTTCATTCTCAGGCTCCTCGCCGGCTGGGACACCCCCCATCACCACCCCTTGTTCTCAGCTGATGCCTCATCACCTGGGATCCACCTGCCATGTGCAGTCGCGGCCACCAGGTGGCAGCACAGCCTTCCCGCTGGCTGGCGTTTCTGCACCCCCTCCACCCCCACCCTAGCATCCCAGAAACACCACAGTCTAGACGCCCGCCGGCCGGATGCCTCTCCCCTGAAGTCAGTCTGCGGAGACCTTCGCGCTCCTCAGGCTCGGTCATCGTCTCCCACGGTGCATTTCCAGGCTGTCTCGCCAGGGGCCAGATCACCGGGCTGAGCGGCTTCTTGCTGGTCTGGGCGGGGGCAGCCCCAGCTGGGCACCCAGCTCCCCCCGACACACCCCACTTCTTGGAAGGCACGAGGGGAAGGGAACTGGCCCGACAGCAGTTTCAGACCGCCACCAGAGCCAGCGCAACCAGCTGAGCTGGAAGGTGGCGGTTTCTGAGGACAGCTGTGGCCTTGCTCCCAACTGGCCCTCAGCCCAGCCCGCGAGCACGCCTGCCCCGTGTCTGTTTGAGTTTCTTCCGTTTGCTGCCTTTTGAGAACCGAGAGTCCCAAACTCGGTGCTCAGAAGACAGACGTGCGCACCCTCGTGCGTGCGTGCATGCGTGCTGTCGCTTCAGTCATGTCCGACTCTTTGCCACCCTAGGGACTGTAGCCCGTCAGGCTCCTCTGCCCTGTGCCCTGAGGCCAAACCAACCGGGAAGAAGCGTTCCCCCGACCAGCCTCGCTGCTGTGCCCTCCTGAAACACGGTGAGGTCTTGCAGAGTTTACAGCCAGTCTTAACCTCGAGCAGCCAGGCTGCTCGAGCCCGCCCCCTTGTGGCTGAGACCCTTGAAGGGTCATTGTCTTCTCTGGGGATCTTGAGGGTGGAGACCAGGAGTTGCCAGGGTGCCCCCCCAGAATGTTCTAGGGTGGACAGTCTGTGGCTCTGGGCTCTGAAAGCCATTCCAGCGTATGAACCAGCGCATTGGTTTTCCAGCGTAGTCATTGTGATAAATGTACCATGAGCCGAGCACCTGAAATAACACAAGTTTATCATCTCAGAGTCCTGGAAGCCTAACACCAGACTCTGAACTCCAGCCTGTGGGTACTGGACTGGGGACCAGTGCCCTGGGGACATCTCCTACCTTGCTTCCTGGGATTCTGGATCCTGGGACGTGGGCCTGGCCTGGCCACATCAATGGAGCACCCATTCGGAGCCAGGCAGGGCTGACAGAGGCGCCTACTGGTGCCACCTACAGAACAGATAATTGTCTAAGAAAGTGCTGATGAGCTTCCTTGAAGCCCTGTAGGTTGGTGAGTGGTGGAAAGTTCCCCGAGGGAACCTGTGCTGACTTGAGGTGATGCCAGCGGCCTCCTCCTTCAATACACATGCCAGGACGATTTTCAAAAGAGCCTCACCAACACAGTGCACCAGCAACAGGAGCTTTGTTTTGTTCAGTTGCTCAGTCATGTCTGACTTCGACCCCATGGACTACAGCACGCCAGGCTTCCCTGTCCTTCACTATCTCCCGGAGTTTGCTCAAACTCACATTCATTGAGTCAGTGATGCTATCCGACCATCTCATCCTCTCTTGCCCCCTTCTCCTCCTGCCCTTTATCTTTCCTAGCATCAGGGTCTTTTCCAATGAGTCATCTCTTCATATTAGGTGGCCAAAGTATTGGAGCTTCAGCTTTACATCAGTCCTTCCAGTGAATATTCAGGGTTGATTTTCTTTAGGATTGACTGGTTTGATCTCCTTCATGTCCAAGGGACTCTCAAGAGTCTTCTTCTCCAACATCACAGTTCCAAAGCTGATGCTTCAAAGATTCACATTCACATTCTTGGGTGCTTAGCTTTCTTTATGGTCCAACTCTTGCATCCATACATGACTATCGGAAAAACCATAGCTTTGACTAGATGTACTTTTGTCACCAAAGTGATGTCTCTGCTTTTTAATACGCTGTCTAGGTTTCTCATAGCTTTTCCTCCAAGTAGCAAGCATATTTTAATTTCATGGCAACAGTCACTGTCTGCAGTGATTTTGGAACCCAAGAAAATAAACTTTGTCACTGTTTCCATTGTTTCCCCATCTATTTGCCATAAAGTCTTGGGACTTGATGCCATGATCTCAGTTTTTTGAATGGTGAGTTTTAAGCCAGCTTTTTCACTCTCCTCTTTCACCTTCATCAAGAGGCTTTTTAGTTCCTCTTCGCTTTCTGCCATCAGGATGGTGTCATCTGCATATTTGAGGTTATTGATATTTCTCCTGCATTAACCTTTAAAAATGTTTACATTATATATATATATATTAAATTAATTACTATTGGTTGTGCTGGGTCTTGGTTGCTGCACAGGCCTTCTCTAGTTGCGGTGGCAGGCCTCTTATTGCAGTGGCCTCTCTTGTTGCAGAGCACAGGCTCCAGGTGCGTGCTTAAGTAGTTGTGGTGCTCAGGCTTAGTTGCTCCAGGGTGTGTGGGATCTTTCCAGACCAAGGATCAAACCTGTGTCTCCTTCATTGGCAGGTGGATTCATAACCACTGCACCACCAGGCAAGTCCCATTTCAATTTTTTACAACAGCATATGCCCTTAGGATGCCCTTCCTAAGATCCTCACAGCCATCACCCCAGGTCATATAGATGCCTATCAGATAGAAGCGCACCTGCCACTGTGAGGAGTTACCTTCCCAAAAGCCAGCTGCAGGCTGCAGGGTGAGGAGGCCTGGTCTGGAGCATCTCAGGGAAGGAAAAGTGATAAAGGAGTCAGGTGACCAAGAGAGTCCACTCCTAGGTGTGTGTGCAAGGCAATCAAAGAGATACTCAAACATACACATGTACATCGTGTTCACAGCAGTGAAAAGGTGGATCCTCCCAGACCAGGGATTGAACCTGTGTCTCCTACATTGGCAGGCAGATTCTTTACCATGGAGCCACCAGGGAAGCCCCTGGAATGTTCAGTTTCGAAGGCAGAATCTGATTTTATACAACCTCACCTCAAGTCGAGGTGTGGCTTTAGAACAGGCACACGGATCTGGGCTGCTCTCACAGGCTTGCAGGCATCTGACGGAGGCCATGGTGCTGGCCCAGAGGGTGCCAGCAGACTGCAGGCCTGGGAGACCCCCGCGCTGCCGTGGCCCTCGCTTCTGTACACCCCAGGGGGTACTTGGGGACCCTCCCTCTGAGCTCCTCACAGGAGAAGAGGAGGCCCTGAGTGCCTTGGCCCAGAAGTCCGGTGGAAGGGAAACTCCACCAGGATCCCCGCCTCATTACTCTGGGCTGAGTCTAGGACCGCACAGGTGTGCCAACACTGGGGCCACGTGAGCCAGCTCCTTGCGTCCCATCGCAAACCTGCGTCACTCGGGAGCCGATGCACTGTACCCTCAGCTCCCTCGGTGCTGGATAAACAGGCCACCCCCGTAGGAATATCCACGGTCCCCCCACCCCTGCCGTGTATGTGACTGTGTGTGTGCACACACATGCACGCACACATGCACAGAAAGCCTCTCAGGTCCCATTTGTCATCTCAGTTTGCAAGTTTGCCCTTGCCTGGTGTTGGGTTTCTATTTGTCACAGGGCAGATCCTCTGTGGGCAGAGAACCTTTGCTGAATCAGATCTTGCTCTCGCCTTTCAGTTTTTCTCCTCCTCCCTCCCCCTCACCTCCTCCTTTCCACCTACTCACCACCTGCAAACTGTTCTGACTTTTAAGTGTCGAAACTGAGGTGGTTTTGTTGCACGGTGGCCAGGCAGCCAGGAGGCTCAGTGTCACCTTTTTTCCAAATGCCATCTGATCTCAGGAGCCCCTCGAGGGGCTGCTGGTGATGCATCTGAGCCCCCCACGACCTTCCCAGCCCCTCCTCTGCCGTGTCCCACGTGCCATGTGCGAGCATGCTGCCTGGCTGCCAGCCAGGGAGGAACCTGCTTGCTACCAGCTGCTGCAGCTGCAGGCTAGGCTGTCTCAGGCTGCTCCCTAGAAAACCTTTAACTTGTTTTTAGTGGTGACCACAGGTTAATCCTGACACCCCGCAGTCTCCCATTGCAGTTGGTATCAGCCTATAGCTTAAGGGAGGTGAATGGGGTGCTACTGGAGTGGGTCCCCTGCGCCAAGCTGAGCCCTGGATGGGAAGCTGAGCCGGGACATATTTCATTTACCATCTTCATTTTTCTTTTCTTTTTTTTCTGGCTGCACTACGGGGCATGTAGGATCTTAGTTCCCTGCCAGGGATCGAACCCATGCCACCTGCAGTGAAAGTGCTGAGTCTTAACTGCTGGACCCTGAGGGAAGTCCCCTCTCATTTTTCAAAAAAAAAAAAAAAGTTCTACCATTTTAATCTTTTTTTTTTTTTTAATGTATTTATTTACCTGGCTGCACCAGTCTTAGATGCAGCATGTGGAATCTAATTCCCTGACCAGGGGAGCCTGAAGAGGCTGCCTTGGGAGCCTGGAATCTTAGCCACTTTGCCACCAGGGAAGGCCCCCATTTTGATCTTTTTGAAGTGGACAGTCCATTGGCATTCAGCACATGCAGAGTGTTGTGTGACCATCATCAGCTGCCTTCGTGCCTGTGGAGCCCCCCTGGCTCTGGGCACGTGGCATTTCTGTCAGCACACACGTTTGCCCTGAAAACAGACTTTGAGGTGGGCTGAAGAATGGCCCCCAAGTATATCAGGTCCTGAGTCCCAGGAATCTGAGCTTCCCCAGTGGCCCAGTGGTTAAGAACATGGCTCACAATGCAGGAGACATGGGTTCGATCGCTGGTCGGAGAACTAAGACCCCACATGCCACAGAGCAACTAAGCCTGTGCACTGCAACTAGAGAGTCCATGCGCCACAAGGAAAGAGCTTATGTGCCGCAACTCAGACCCAACACAGCCAAATCATACTGGCATATTTCTCAGATGCCATCTGATCTCCATTATGTTGGAGATAATATATAGCCAAAAATATTCAATAAATATTTTTAAAAAATAAATAAATCCCAGGAATCCTTGAGTCTGCTACCTGAGCAGGCAAAGATTTTGCAGGTGTGATTCAATTAAGCCTTCTGAGATGGAGCGATTATCCTGGCGGCCCTTAAAGCAGTCCTAAGTATAAGGAGGCTGAAGCTCCAATACTTTGAGTGACTAAACAACAGATCATACTCCATTCCTTAACGTGGTGGGAGCGAGACGCAGCCCCTTGAGGCGAGAAGTGGAGGGTGGCGGAAGAGGTCTCGCCATGGTTCAGAGGCTCAGAATAGAAAGCATTCATTTCCTCAAAAAAGAAATGTCCCTCCCTGGGATCTCAGTGGTTCCTGATGGTCCAGTGGTTAGGACTCTGCACTCTCACTGCCAAGAGTGTGGGTTCAGTCCCTGGCTGGGGAACTAAGATCCTGCAAGCTGTGCTCCACGCCCTCCACCTCCTACCACCAAAAAAAAAAAAAAGAGAAAAAAAGCATCTCTCCCTCTCAAGTTCAGGTCCCTACCTGTGAAATGAATCTGTGTTGTGCTAAGTTGTTCTGTTGTGTCTGACTCTGGGCCACCGTATGGACTTGGGCCCACCAGGCTCCTCTGTCCATGGGATTCTCCAGGCAAGAATACTGAAGTGGGTTGCCATTTCCTTCTCCAGGGGATCTTCCCGACCCAGGGATCCAACCCTGATCTCTTACATCTCCTGCATCATCGGCAGGTGGGTTCTTAACCAATAGTGCCACCTGGGAAGCCATGAAATGAATTTAGGTGAGGCAAACTCTGAAATTCCTCCCAGCTCTAATGCCCTGCAAAAAAACCAACCAAACAAAAGATCTGTGAACAGTGAGTAAAAACAAATGTACCTTATCCTCGCAAAAGCAGTGCTGTATTCTCCAGATAGTCAGTTTCCTTATTTTTAGCCGCCACCCCACCAGCGTGAGCCCTTGTGTGATTTGGTCCGTCTCGGATCCAGGCTCTGAGAACATGGTCCAGCAAGTGCGTTTCCCGGTCCAGGATGGCTGGATTCCTCGGACTTCTCCCAGGAGCCCCCATGGTTCCCTCTGCAGCCTGGTGGGGTGGAAAGAACACAGCGGGCCTGCTCTTGGTAGCAGGATGCCCGCCCTGCCCTTTCACCTTCACCAACCCCTGACCGACCTCTCAGTGCTTCTGTGCCCAGCACCTGTCCCAGAACCCAGGGTCCAGGTTCCAGCTTCGTTCTGGCCTGTCCTCCCAACGCCTACCCTTCAGCTGTTGCCCCTCTCACCTTCTAACTTATTTGGGTTGTTGAATATCAATCTGGCTATAAAAGGCAATTCTGGCCTAAGGAAAAGTGGAAAAGAGGAAAGGGGTGGCCAGCTGCCCAAGTCAAGACCAGCCTCTGCTTGCATTCTGGTGTCTGGGACTCATTTAGATTCCCAGAATACCATCGGAGGTGGCTGTTCGTGGTTTGCGCTCAGAGGCTCCAGGGCCCCAGCCCAAGATGTCCCGGCAGCCACCCATGTGATCTCTGTCCATCTGCCCGAGGACTCAGGGTTGGGGTGACCCAGGCCCCTCGCACAGACTGTTCTTTTCTGCCAACTGTTTCTCCCCATGGCCCAGAGGGAGCAGAGTGAAGCCGGAGCTGGTGGGTGGTTCAGCCTCCATCAGAGTCATGTCTGGGCCCGGCGGGCTTCCTTCCTGGGGACGCCTCCCAAGACGCTCCTCGCAGTTTCTGGGAGTGTGAAGGATCTTTTGGGATTCCCACTGTGTTTTCTTTTCCTCAGGGGCATTTGGCTGGGGCAGGTGACCTCACTCCCTTTTCTGCATGTGCCTCTTTCCCTGCTGCCCAGCAGGGGGGACACTGGGGCAGGGCTGGGGCGACAGGCGTATCCTGTATAGGGGTGCCTGAACCTACAAAACCTCAGGATGATCCCCTGGAGGAAGCCATGGCAACCCACTGCAGTATTCTTGCCTGGAGAAGAATCCCATGGTCAGCGCAGCCTAGCGGGCTACAGTCCATGGGGTCCCAAAGAGTCAGACATGACTGAAGCAACTTAGCATGCAGGCACCTCCATTGTGAACCCTTGGAAACACCAGGTGTCAGTGGTCAGCTGGGCTGAACTGAGGCATGATTGGTCTGGGGCTGCCTACCCACGGCCAAGGTCTTTGGAGACACAGGGTCCCAGGTCTATCAGGGGCTTGAGCTGCACATCGTGGGCTCAGGCAGGTCTGGTGCCAATTCCGAGCTCGTTTTCCCAGCGGTGACCTGGAGCCGAGATGCTACAGCTGGTTCTCGTTGGTAGTGTCCCAGGGCTCAGCACCCCTGGCCTGTGTCACTCGTGTTTTCTCACATATGTGTGCCGTTTTCCAGTGGTTCCGTGGCTCTGATGTCACAGCAGATTGAACACAGGAGCTGGTATGAGAATCCAGCTGTCTTCTGTTAAGCCACACACGGGAGAAATTTGCAAAATGCAGCAAATACCACTCTTCTCCCTAAAAAATACACTTTTGTTTTTGAAAGACTTGTCATTTTAAAATGTCCTGCTAAAATTTTAGAGATAGCTTTTTTTTTAAACACGAGCTGTCTGGGGTCCTCAATACATATATTTTTAAAAATAGACATTTTTTAGAGCATTTTTAGGTTCACAGCAAAATTGAGAGGAAATACAGGGTTCCCAAATACCTCCTGTGCCCCCACTCATGCCCGCCCTCCCCAATACCTTTTTATCATCATGACAATGTACGTGTGTGTGGTTTTTCTATGCAAGTTTTTCATCCAGAGATAGGACTTGCAAATATGTTGTCCCATTCTCTGGGTTGTCTATTTACTTTCTTGTGGTGTCCTTTGAAACACAAATACTTTTACCTTGGTGAAGTTCCCCCATTTATCTATTATTTTCCTTGTGTTGGTGTTGGGTCTAAGAAGGTTTCACCTGTATGTACTTTAAAAATTTTATTTATTTATTTTTAAATATTTATTTAGCTGTCCCAAGTCTTAGTTGCAACATGTGGGATCTAGGTTCCTGACCAGGGATGGAACCTGGGCCCTCTGCATTGGAAGCATGGAGCTTAGCCCCTGGACCACTAGGGAAGTCCATACTTTTGATTTTTAAATACAGATCTATAGGGAGTTGCAAAGAAGTGGGCAGGAAGTCCTGTGGACTCCTTCCTCCTCCAACCTTTTTTTTTTCTTTTTTCGGCCATGTCACTCAGCCTGCGGGATCTTCACTTTTCCAACCAGAGGTCGAATCGGTGCCCCCAGCAGTGGAAGCTCAGAGCACTAACCACTGAAACGCCAGGCAAGTCCCCTCCTTCAGCATTAACATGTTGAATAACTGAAGTACAATATCAAATCTCGGAAACCGACACGGGTATAGCCCGCAAAACTCATTCAGACTTCAGTGGTTTTACACACACTCAGTCATGCTTGAGAGTCTTGTAATTTTATCACACACGTGACCTTAATCATTTTTTATATTTATTTATTATTTATTTGGCTGCACCTGGATCTTAGTTGCGGCATGTGAGATCTAGTACCCTGACAAGAGGTTGAAGCAAGGCCCCCTGCGTTGGAAACATGGAGTCTTAGCCATTGGGCCACCAGGGAAATCTTGCCTCAATCATTTTTAAGACTGTGAATGGGTCCCACAACCAGAAAGTGCAAGGATCCCTGGAGTAACAGTTCCAGGAGATCTTTTCTTCATTTGCCTTTTAAGGCAAATGCTGCTACTGGCTTCATTTTACAGGCAAGACGCCAGGAGATTCATTCCAATTCTGTTTCCCCATCTCCCACAGCCACTGGACAGCAGTGATCGGACTGGAGAACCAACTCTTCTAGAGTCGGTGTTCTCAGCTGCCAGAAGTGTTCCTCTACTTGTTATCTTTTAAAAGATAAAAACGGAGATAAGGCAAAATGTCCCAGGGGACCTGTCACTCAGTGAGTTTGACATGGCCCGTTTTTCCTCCACTGTCAGAACAGTCAGCTGTAACCTCATCTACATCCAGAAGCAGATGGCTTGCAGGCTTGCATTCAGGGGCTGTGCTGTTAAAAATAGTAAGAATAGAAGTGGTCATCACACAGTGCAAAGCTTTTCACCCTGAGAGTGTCTGGAACAGGGACTGAATGGGGGCAGCTTAATTGGGCATTACCATCTCGCTCTGGGCGCGTCCCCTGCGGGTGCCTTCACAGAATGATGGGTGGACTTCCTCTCTGCTCCATTTACAAAACTTCCCTCATGTTGCGTTTTCAGCCCCGCTCACAGTCACTGAATTGAATTCATGATGCTGAACGCTCAAATATTGAGACACACCTTAACACCCCTGCCCCTAAACACAAGGTTCTCCCAATTGTAGTAATCTGAATTTTTGCAAATTGCATCTTATTTTTTTTAAGATTTATTTATTTATTGGTTTTATTTTGGCCACTCTGCATGGCACATCATGGCATGTGGGATCTTGGTTCTCTGACCAGGGATCAAACCTGTGACCTCTACAGTGGGATCACAGAGTCTTAACCACTGGACCACCAGGGAAACCTCTGGATTGCATCCTGTTGTAAATTCATTAGGGACTTTCATTAAGCGGTCAGCCCAACCTGAAGGCCACGAAAAGGCCAGGCTAGACCTTGGGAGGCCTGGAGTTCCAAGGAGAGAATGCTATTTCCAACCTTATCACGGTCTTGGAGGCCACAGTTCAGTTCCTTTGTCAGTCGTTTTTCTAAACTCCTGGCTGACATTTTCCCAAGTCATTTGAAGGCTGCAGCTGGAACTCTATCGAGGAGGACACGGACTGAGTAACAGGTGGTCATTTATGGCTTCCATGGGTGTCAGCCAGACTTCCCCACATTACCGTGCCTTTTTTCTACCCTGTTCCTTTGTGCCTCCACCCATCCATGGCTCCAAGTGGCAAGCACCCACTGGGGCACTGACTGCACAGCCCCAGGAGATGCAGGAAGGATTGACTTGACCTACCAGGGCTGGATCGCTGGGGAGGAGGAGTCCCCAGACCAGCCTTTCAGCAGTTTCATCGTGGGTGTTCCTTGAGCCGAATCCACAGAGGCCAGTTACTTGTGCAAGTATGAGTTCTTCTAGACCAGGGCTCTCACCTGGGTCGACTGGCGCCCAGGGGACCCTGGGCGATGTCCAGGACGTCTGTGGTTGTCATGACCAGGGTGGCCTACTGGCATCAAGGTCGGGGGGCCAGCGAGGTTGGTCCACACCTTAGAGTGCCCAGAACGCCTCTCAGAGGATGACCTGCTCTGAGTGTCCACTTGAGAACACTGTTCCTATCCCACAAGGTCTGTTAACAAATGAAGAAGCCTGCCTTAAAAAATACAAGAGGCAAGGACCCCCAGGAGGTGGGGGCAGAGAGAGGGGGTGGGAGTGGGGAGACCACCACCTCCCTTCCTTCAAGTGCTTCTATGTCGCTTCTGAACTTTGATGTCCCAGACTAAACCCTGCTGGACAACCTACTCCACAGCCTTAGAGAAATGCCCAGACTTCCCCAAATTTTGAACTTTGGTACCTCCCCGGGGCATGCAGGGCTGCTGAGGGCTGAGGGCCTGTCTGCCAGCTCCCGCATCCTGCATTCCGGAGGCTGGCAGGGCTGCGCCCATCTCCCCTTGAAATGCTCTCAGAAAACCGGCCTGGTTTATTTGGATGAAGCGGAGGAAGGGCTGGGCCAGCGCAGGATTTATTTTGGTGAAACTGAAGCCTCAGATCCCAGCCTAGATTCCCGAGAAGACTGACATTCCCGGAGTCAGCAAGGACAAGCGCAGCACTGCAGCGGGTCAGCCCGGGCCATTGGGCCAGCCGGCCAGCCAGCAGAGCGCTGTGTGGTGTTTATGCTCACGGGAGCCAGCCAGCCGCGTTTGGTTTTTCCAGCCCCGCCCCACGCCTCCCCTCCCCTCCCCTCCTCGTGATCCCCCTTCCTCACCGAAACTCAGTGGAAATGTTCTTTGGAAACTCAACTTCCCATTTTTGGAGAAGCTTCTTAGAAACGAGACATCTTCCAGCTTGTAGTGAGATGACCTTTTAGCTCAGCTTCTATCTTTTTTTTTCCTTCACATGAACGTAAGTTAATAAAGAAGTGATACTGGCTCTGTATAAATCAGCGTCCTCTCAACCTTCTGTTTTCTTTTCTGTTTTTCACTGTCACTCCCCACCCCCAGAGCCCTGTTAGACTTGCTTCTCCTAACTGCTCATCAAAAAGAATAATGCGAGTAGTGGTTGAGAGTGCACTGTGTATCTAAATGCCATGAGTTCATGTGGTGCTTTTTTTTTTTTTTTGCCGTGAGTATAGCAAAATAGATTTTTAAACATTATTTTTAATTGGAGGATAATTGCTTTACAGTATTGTGCTGGTTTCTGCCATGTATCAGTATGAGTCAGCCATAGGTATATGTATGTCCCCTCCCTCTGGAACCTTCCTCCCACTCCATGTGATACTTTTTTTAAAACCTTAATTGTCCAGCCCTCCTACACTGTTGGCAGGAATGAAAATTGGTGCAGCCACTATGGAGAACAGTATGAAGGTTTCCTAAGAAAGCAAAGATAGAGCTACCACATGATCCAGCAATCCCACTCCTGGATATATTTCCAGATAAAACACTAATTCGAAGATTCATGCACCCCACTGTTCATAGCAGCAGTATTCACAATAGCTAAGACATGGAAGCAGTGTCCATTGATAGATGAGTGGATAAAGACGACGCAGTATATACACACAGTGAATATACTCAGCCATAAAGGGGATGAAATAATGCCATTTGCAGTAACATGGATGGACCGACCTAGAGTTTCTCATACTAAGTGAATTAAGCCAGAGAAAGACAAATATCAGATGATGTCAGTAATATGTGGAATCTAAAATATGATACAAATAAATTTATTTATAAAACAGAAAAAGACTCACAGACATAGAGAACAAACTTATGATTACCAAAGGGAAAGTGAGAGGAGAGATAAATTAGGAGTATGGGATTAACAGGCACAGCAATAAATATAAAATATGTAAACAACAAGAATTTACTATAGAGCACAGGGAACTATGTTCAATATCTTGTAATAACCTATGATGGGAAAGAATCTGTAAAAGAATATATATATGAACACACTCACACATATATAGCAGAATCACTTTGCTGTATTCCTGAAACTAACACAACATTGTAAATTAACTGTAGTTCAGTTTAAAAAAAAAAACAAAATCTTATTTGCTCTCCTTTGGAGGTTGATCATTATTGGGAAAAATTGAAGTTCTGGTAATCAAAGAGCTGATGAGAGAAAACTCCTCATGGAAGATCTGTAAAATGCTAATAGCACAGGTACACTGTGTAACTGCTTATGTGCTGCCTGCACACCTGCGCTTCATGCATAAAAAGAGTAAGATTTTTCTCGCCTCCCCAGGAATCGAGTTCCACCACCCTCCCACCATGAAGAATGTATTTATAGGGCTTCAGGGGTGGCTCCGTGGTCACAAATCCCTGAGTCAGGAAGTTCCCCTGGAGAAGGAAATGGCAACACACTCCAGTGTACTTGCCTGGGAAATCCCATAGACAGAGGACCCTGGCGGGCTACAGTCCATAGGGTCTTAAAAGACTCAGACACGACTCAGCGACTAAACAACAATGATGGTATTAGTAATTTAATACTGTCATAGGCATTCAGAAAGCTGAATGAAATGCCGAATAAAAGACACCTATGACAAAGAGCAGTAGTTGAAAAAGTGAATCATCCTGACAGTATTCAGAAAATGTCTTTATAAACAACGCAGGCACGAGAAAGTGGAAATCTCTAATGGCAAGCCCTGCTACCCGGAATTAACCCTGGTTGAGAGCGTGGGACGGACAGGAACTGACGGTCACTGACGGGGGACAGAGGGCGGGCCGAGTGTCCAGTCTAGATTTTGCCCACAAATTTTAATTATGAGTCTTGAGCAAGTTTCTTTGTTTTGCTGTGTTTCAGCTTCCTTGTTTGTTCAATGGAGTAAGAACCATCAAAGAAATGTTGTGAGTGTGAAATTGGATAATTTATGGGAAAAGTTAAGTGGAAGGCCAGATGAGGATAATGTATTAACTAAATGCCATCCATCACTGTTCCCGTTTCACCTCTGACCCTTCTTTCTAGACTTCCCTGTGCTCGGGTACCCACGGAGGCGGGGGTGTGTGAAGATGCCAAGTGTGTTGCACATTTGTGGTCCCAAGCTTTGGCTGGGAGAATCCTGGGTGTCCTGGGTTTAAGAGTATGTCCCTTTGCAGTGGTTGGGTTCTGGTAGGTTTCTCAGATGTTTGGGACCACATTATAGGTGGATTTCTTAGTCCAGTTTCTAAGCCACCTGTGGGTGAGAATAGGACTCTGGCATCCAATCCTCAGGGAAGCCCATAGACTCAGATGGAGGCAGTGTCTTACGGCATCTCTGCACACCCAGGTGGACTTTCTGTCTAATCTCTTCCCCTGAGGATGCGGCCCCATGGGGGTCCTGGCCTTTTAAATATATATAAATTAACCATTTCAGCACCTAAGTCTAGCATCTGGTCCTGGGTGGGATCCTATGACTGAAAAAGAACATTGGGGAAATGCTAAGGAAATCTGAATAAATATGGATTATTGTTAATAATAATGTATCAGTATTGGTTCATTCATTAAGACAAATCTACCATGCTGATGCCAGAAATTAACAGTAAGGGCAACTGGGTGTGGAGTATATGAAGACTCTATACTATCTTCACAACTTATCTGAAAAGCTAAGGCTACAAATTAGAAAGAGAAAGAGATGATAAACACAGTAGCAACACAAAGGTGGCTGAGCCCAGCTCCTGGGCTCTCGCCTAGCAGTGGGGACACTACCTCCCACCACCTAGGTGCCCAGGCCTCTCACATCTTGAGTTTCTGCTAGTTTTCTTCCTTTCTGTGAGCCCAGGGTGTTAGTTTTCTTTCATCGAGTATTGCTTGGACTTTACAGGAGGGGAGACACAAGCAGTGAAGTCTGCCCTGTTGCTAGAAACATGTCCCATGACAGAGGGTGATCTTTCTCAAAGCAAAACAAAAATACAACAACTCTACTTTTCTGCTTTTAACAAAAATTTAACAGTATAGTTTGCCTATCACTTTTTGTCAATCACAATAAGTATGCCCTATTTTATTTCAATAGATTTTATTTCTAAGACACTTGTTGGTTCATAGGGGAAGGTGCAAAGGTTTCCCATGTGCCCCCCCACCTCACCTGATGCATTTAAAACTGAGTTAGTTATTGAAAAATAACCTTCTACAAAGCTTCTATCAATTTAGACGTCCTTCAACTGCACCATTGCCCCCACAGCCTTGCCATGATGGTTAGTAATTAAATGTAAAAGTTTTGCCAGTCAGTGGTGTGAAAAATGATGTCTCAATCATCAAATGATTAATTTGATGTATTAATCTTCATTTATTTGTTCATTAAAGATATTGATCACCTTTTTCTTCCTTCTTTTTCTTTCTTTCTTCCTCTCAGTTATTTGTATCTCTTCATTAAGTATTTTATTTTTCCTGAGATTTTCATCTTATTTATTTGTAGGTACTCTTTACATATGGTGGTCACTAACACTTTGTCCATTACATATGCTGTGAGTAATTTTCCCAGTTTGTTGTGTGCCTTTTTGTTGACTTTATTTATGGCTCGTACTTGTCCTGAAACTCCCAGGTATAAAAGAGAGTTTTTAGTCATTAGCCATGGGGAAAACTTTTCCTCTACATTGGTTCTGTAGCTGAATAGCCCTGTCAGGGAGTTTGGAGAGAGAGGAACTCCAGGTCACATGCTTGGTCCCTTATAATCTCCCCCTTAGAAAAAGTCAATTAACTTTTTTTTAAATGACAATATACTGAAAAATCTAGGATATACCAAGAAAGCATAAAGAAGAAGCATGTTTTTCCTCTTAAATACCACCACTGCTTTTCAGCCTAGCTTCAGCAAAGCAAAATTTGCCCTGAAGCTCTGCAACCGTGATGCATCCTTGGGAGCCATGGGTGGGGGGCAGTTCATGGGTTTTGTGGAACACCGAGGTTGGATCCTGCTTGCATCACTAGCATCTTACGAGAGAAGGAAGAGCAGAGCAGAGTGGAGATGGAGCAGAGTTTTGGCAAATCATGTGGGCACCTAGGAGTATTCCTTACAAATCTTGTAAGAGATGGTGAGGAGGACTGATTATTTTTGCCCTCTGCATCACTGATTCCCATAGCCTTCTGAGCACGGGGCTCTTGTTTCTGAGTGGAGCATGCTGCGGGAGAATTTTCTGCCTTGTCCTCTGAGAGATGTTACGTTACTAGGTTACCAGTGTACCAGTCTTCCAGGGAACAATGTACCAATAAGAATCATGTTCAACTTTGAAAAATAAAATAGATATTGATATTTTTAAAGGGTAAGAATAGTATTGCAACGTGATTTGCAAGTCCTGAGTTGCAATTCTACCATTTCAAGTAGAAATGCCATTTCAAGTGTGTGTGGATAGATGGATGAATAGATGGATGGAATGATGAAGAATGACAGCTTTATTGACATACAGTTCACATTCAGTTCATATAATTCTGCCATTTCTAAGCCTTGGT